AGAGGATCCTATAAAATCGGACCCTCATTCCCATATCAGAGAGAGAGAGAGAGAAGAGAGAGAGAGAGAAAGAAAGAAAGAAAGAAAGAAAGAAAGAAAGAAAGAAAGAAAGAAAATCACAGCCAGATGATGATGATGATTTGTATAGTGCCTTTCATCCAAAGATCACAAGGCGGTTCACAACATAAAAATACAAAATGAGAACACAAAACAAGAACAAAGCAATAACCCCCTCCCCACCCCCATATTTAATATCTACTCAGGGGACTTTAAAAAAAATAATCCTGCAGATAATTACATGGGGGATGTTTCTTTATTGAAATATATGAGAATAATGCCAGTTTTATAAATGCCAAATTCTAATATTTTGCCAAATATGAAAAATCAAATACTATCAACAGAGCACTGCCAGAAATCATAAGGGCAGGATAATCATCAGCAAAAGCTCAATTACTTTGTAGTATGTAATACTTCAAATTACCTGCATACACCACCCACCTCCATACATAATACCGGTGCGTAGTGGGTCAGGTCTGCACCATGTGAGACTCACCAGTCCAAACACAGTCATGTATGGTACCCTATCAGCAGCCCCAAAAACCTGTTTTTACTGCCTATTTGGGACTGCCAAAAATGGGGGGAGGGTTTCAAGCATGACTGCACTGCCAAACTGCATTCAACTGGGTGGATCAAAAGTTATGCATACCTACATTAGGATCAAGTTGTATTGGAGGATTTAACAATATGTGTGATAGTTCAGCAAAAACTCTAAAATTAGACCTGCGATGAAATCCCAGCCTACGATTCTGTGAATACTTAGTCATGACCAGTGCTACTTTCCTGGAAAAAGAGGTGCCAGAACTCACCATGAACACCTCCCTCATTCTCTTAGAATGTCAATGGCACCCACCTGAGAGTTTCAGTGAGTCCAGCCCAGGTCATGAGGGAGTTGAATAAAGTGGGCGGGAAATAGAGTGCATATAAATTGGTGAGTGGGGGACCCTTGACTTGTGAGCTAGAGATAGAGCCCAGGAGACAACCTTGCAGACACTAGTCCATTAGAGTGACTGGGACACTGTCCCACCAACCTCAATCTGCCTTCACCCAGCCTTCTCCTACCTGCCTTCTTATCTTACTTATAACCAATCAGGGGGTGGCTCTGCCTGTCATTGGCTCTAGTGCTAACACCTACTGCTGGTCTCCTGGTCTCCCTGATTTCCTCTGAACCAGTCACAATAGGCACTAAACACCCCTGGGTGTAGAGGTACTTAGCCTGTTACCTTGGCAAGAACCACATGTTTACCACCTTGGGTTCCCTCGTGGAAGAAAGGTGGGATGCAAATGTAAGGAGATAAAATAATATGTATATGGTGATGTGCATGCAGAATTGCATCCCTGCCTTGTTCCAGATTAAACAGTTAACCCAGGGCAGTATTGTCTACTTTGATTGGCAGTGGCTCCCCAGGGTCTCCAGGTCTTTTCCATCACCTGCTGCTGGAGACTTTTTAATGGCAGATGACCTGGAACCTTCCACATGCACATTCTTTTTTACTTCTAGCACTGGAAGCTCTTCTTCATTCACCCCATATACAACTGTATTCCTTCATGGAACTCATTTGTGAAGAATACAGGTCTGCCTATTGTCCATTGACTGGAGAGATTACAAACAGGTAGAATAACAGTTATGGCAGGGGACGGGAATGTTTACAATGATATAGTTAAAATATATACATTTAGCCTTCATCCATTGCCTAAGCCCAGCCTAACTCCATTGTAGCTTAATAAGAAAAGAAAAGTGCTGCACAAAATTAGCAATAAAGTCCTTCCAGAGGAAGATTTAGGGCAGTGTGACCAGCTCCACTGCATTGGGTGCCAAGCCTAGAGGGCGCCACAGGGTGTCACAACTAGGACATAGTGAACTGAGCAGAATGGAAGGTGATGGGTGGGGGTTGCCGAATGTTGGGCTCGCACAGGGCGACGCTGAAATTTGGAAGACCGAAGTTCACCCCTGGGTCTGATTGCCTGGTGACTCACAATCTCAATTAATGGCTAGATTGTTGTTTTGTTTTTGCTTGTCGCCTTATGTGATAGCAAGAAATGAGTATTAAAAGTATGGTTTCTTTCATGGAAATCTCTCTCTCATTCATATATGTGTGCGTGTTTATATATATGAAATCTAAAAATATGTTTAGGGGTACTCTCATTTTCTTACTCATATTGAAATACTACCCTCAATGAGGCCAAACTTTGATTCACAAAATGTTTAGGGGTAAGCGTACCCCAGCGCCCCCCCACGAAAAAAGCTGTGTGTGTCATATATATATATATATATATATATATATATATATATATATATGGCGACTTGATACAAAAAACAACAATAATCCCAAAACGCAATTTATCAAGCCTATTCTTAAAGGAAATCTTCTGTATGTCTTCCCTGCTCATTCACTCTGCCTATTCTTTCTGGATTAATTTTTAAAGTGCATGAATGAGTAGCCTGTTTTAGGGTTTTGTTTGTTGCTTCCTAGCCTCCACCACCACCCCATGCCCCACACAACACTTTTGGCTCAAATCAGGGGACTAAGGAAGAGCGGGCAGCCTTGAGAAAGTCCACAGAAAACCTTGCCTCCCCATCATCACTCTCTGGTCACATCTAAAAGGCTTTGGGGGATCTAGAGCCAGGAAAAGGACACTTATTGATACCAAGACCTTGGAGGCTGTGGGAGATTATATTTCCATGAGGCATCCCAAAGTGATTTACAATCTTTGACCTAAGCATTGCAACAAAAGAAGCAGAAACCACTTTTTCTCTGGCAAGCATCTGAACTGGTCCATCAGTAGCCTCCATTTCTGCATCCGGGCAGGACATGATGTACTTTAAACAGAATGGAGTTTTAGGTGATGTAAATTGTAGTGCAGAAGATACTGTCATCAAAATGCTGTTACTACTACTGCTGTAATAAATAATAATAATAATAATAATATAGCAAAACAACAACAACATCCTGCAAGGAGCTCAGCATGGTACACGTGTTTCTCCTGGTTCTCATTTTATCTTCATAGCAACCTTGTGAGTTAGGTTCAGCTAAGAGACAGTGAAGGGCCCAAGGTTGACCAGTGAGCTTCATGAATTAAATGTTTGTTGCTCTACCCACATACCCACTGGAAATTCATGGTGGCAAAAGCAATATGCATTCTATGCAGCTCTCCTTCCAAATGAGTTCGAGTGGTCAAATTTAAAGCAGCATTTTCATACTTATTGTAATAGGTCAGACACCCAGATCTGAAACACATGTCCTTGGAAGCAAATCAATAGGGCATAACTTTAAAGTAAAAGCGGGATCTAATGCAAAGCAACCCAGGCCAAGCTGCCAAGCCTTTAAGTTGCCCATCTGTGCAAATTTTATATCGTGATAGCTGAGCATAACTGGGTTGCTTTGAGAATAAACAAAATAAAGATTGATTTTCCCCCATATTGAAAAGTGCAATATGAATAAACGATACAATAATAAATATTGCATGGCTGCCTGATAAATATTAACTTAATATTAATTTACAAAATTAAGTAGGGTTGGGGAAATAATACTGGCTTCATTTTCCTGGATGGCATCTACAATCATCCCTGCTTCAAATTCATAAGGTACTGACACACACACACATACGAAAACAAACACACACACCAATAAAAACCAACAAACCAATGCCTCTGCCTTCACAAAGACACTTAGCATCCCCTTCCCCCTCCCCCATTTGCAATGTGCTTCTCTGTTTTAAATTATAATTCGCAGGCAGCGAATACATTCGTGCATTCAAATTCTAGGCAAAGTTACATTGTGTGTTTCCCAGTTGTCAATTACAAACGGCTGGTCCAAGAAGGAGCTGAACCCTTCTTAAAGTCGCTGCATAGCCAACAGCATCTCTGAGGCTGCCTCTTAAACGGGGGAGGGGAGAGAGAGAGAGAGAGAGAGAGAGAGAGAGAGAGAGAGAGAGAGAGATTGTGCTCAAAGAAACATATGTCGTCCCAAGATTTATTTATTTTTTAAACCTAACGAAAGAAAAGGATCGCTTTGCACAATCACATGTGAAATTGACTGTATTAGCTTAACTAGCCCTGCCTGGGAAAGGGAAATTTGCATCCCATGCTTTAAAAAAGAAAGGAAAAGAGGAGGCGGAAGAAGAAAAGCAAACAAATAAACCAGGAAGACTCCACTAGGATGACCCTAAGGAAACCGAGATCTACAACAACCTCTTTAACAGGAAGGCATTGCCCTGTCGAAAAAGGGTGTGAGACTCTCCTTTCTCTCCCTTCTCCAGCAAAGATGGAAGCCTTAGAAGGGCCTGCCAGCTGACTGGTATAGATACCAGCGTTTGCTATATATTAGCCTCAATATTGTCTGAGAGAGGAAATTGACAGATTTCTTAAACAAAACAACAACAACAACAACAATTTCACATAGGATTGAAAGGGCGGCTGGGAATTTGAACGCAAAAAAGCTGGCTCTTCTCTATTAAAGTCTAACCCTTTAACCCTAAATAATAATTAACAACAACAAGAAATATTTTTAAAAGAGCAAGGCCGTGAAGCATATTGGAAGGGGGGGCGGGGACCGAGAAAGTTTATTTATTTTTATTTTTCTGTAAAGTTTCCCCGGGTTTCTTTCTTTCTTTCTTTTTGTTTTATAGCCACACAAATAACGCAACTTCTTTTAACCTGTAAAAATGTTTTATTCAGACCTTTTGTGTGTGTGCGTCTGTACAACAATAAAATATTGCGTCAATATAAACCCCCCCTTGACTAAAAGTGGTTGACAAACAAACATCACAAGCGAATCGTTTTATGTTTACGCCTTCCTTCCCTGGACAGCCGCTTCGAGGATATATATATATATATATATATATATATAATTATTTTTCTGACTTTTTTTTTTAAAACATAATGAGGAATTTATTGAAAATAAATAATTGTCGGCAACTGCGATAGGCAATTTGGAATAAAATAGTTGAAAAAGCAACCTTTAATGAAAATAGCGTTTATTATACATCAGTTACTAAATGAATAATCTAAATGATCTTCCCCCCCTTTTAAATTAATAACTTCCCAAAAACGTTTAGAATATACAAAACTGTACAGGTATTTTCTTTTTCTTTTTTCCTTAATATAAAGTTGGCAGAAAGCGGGGTCTTCATTGTTGGGATATTAAGCGCATATTCAGGCTTGCCAGAGAGAAAATATGGAAATGAACATCGTTTATGCTTGAGAAGAATTTGGATTGAAAACGGGGGCGGGAAATGGGGGGGGGAATCCTTTTCCATAATTAAACTGGCGTTGTTTTTACATCATTCCAGAGCTGCAAATTTGCACCTAGGGCTCCTTTCATATTATATCGATAGGTGTGTCAGACAGAGTAGTGATGGATGGGTAGACACAATACTCTGGATTTTTTTAGTAGTATAACTATATATATCTATATATACTTAGATGTCTGTAAAGCACCTATACAAACAACTGCGGTGCCTCGTTGTGCCAGGTTTCCGTGTGTATTCGCTTAAGACATGTAAACGTGTAAAATATACACATTGTGGTCCTGCCTAGGTATCCGTAGACAAACAATGGGCAATGCGTCTGTTTGTACAGCGTGTTTGTGTGTGCCTGCACACCCCTATAATGTGCGCCTTTGTAAACACACACGTCCACAAATGGAGGGGAGCTATATCCAATGACAGGCATGGAAGGGGAGGGAAGAATCTACAAGCAAAATAGCATTTTATTTGCTTTGGGGGAACTCTTTTAAAAAAATACAACTTAATAACAAAACGCTTTTGACCAGATCTGCAGCATATCAGTAAAAACCACAACCCAATTCCTTACTGCCTTTCCCCCCACCTCGACCCAACCACCTCCCATACCCATTATTAATTTCAACCCTTGCTGTTTTCCTTTTGACTTTTGATAAGAAACGCGGGCAAACCGATTTATTACGAAGCTAAGCGTTGGACGGGAAACGGGTTTGACTACAAACCGTAGCTCCAGGGGTCGACCAGGATGGATCCAGTCGTGTGTGTGTGTATATATATATATATATATAACATTGTCGAAGAGCTAGAGACCAGGGAAAGGCCGGCCTTTCAAACATATATAAGTTATTCTGGTGATGTTTCCATGTTCGATCTTTGTTTAGACAAGCCAAAATTAGGCACGGGGATGGATGGGGAAGGATATGGAGGGGGGCGCGAGTAGGAGTCGTCTTTTAGAGAATTTCCATGTTGACGTTATTTAATTCTGAAAGTTATTTAAATATATCTGAAAGGGCGGGACAAAGAAGGGTTGAGAAAATCAGATTTTCTGACTAGTCATCTCTTTTTTCTGCCTTTGGGGCTTAGAAAAGAGGGGTTCCAGATTCTACCCCCCTCTAATGGGGGTTGGGAAAATTAGAATACATTTCCCCATGCCTTCTCCTCCCCCCCTTTACAGAAAATCAGTGACCTGCCGGGGGAGAGGAGAGGAGGAGCTGATCAATGGGGTTCCTCCAATTTTAGGTCACAAATGTTACCTACAGGTTGTAGTGTATCACCCCCGGCCTTCTGAAGGCCGCTATACAGAAAGTCTGGTTTAGGAACGAGCAAAGCCAAGTCCAGCCAAGCTAAAGCGAAAACAAAAAAAATATATACCCCAAAACCTGAAATACATCGGATCAGACCAAGGCGCTGAAAGGTTATTCATAGGCACGTTTTGTGTATATATCTATATGGAAAGAGAGAGACAATGCATTTGTTCTGTTGTCTTCGTATCGGAGATTTCTTTTTTTAAAGCCTTGATGTTTACCACAGAAAATCGGCGAGGGGGTGGGGAAGGTTGGATAGATAGAGAAACAGAAGAAAAAGATAACTATAGACATATAAATAAGTATATGTGCTGCCAGGAATGAGCAGCGGGGTGGAGGGGGGTAATGACGGTGGGGAGGAGGTATGTATTATAAACTATCCTTTTCATTTTCTTAATGTCGTGGCCGGGTTGATGTTGTCCTGAAGGGTTGATGAAGGTAAAGTTACCGATAATAATTATAATAATAATAATAATAAAATCCTGGTTTGGGCAGGGTCGGGAGAAGAAGAAGAAAAAGAAGAACGCAAGAAAAAGGAGGGCGAGGAGGAGGAGGAGTGGGGGATGAATGTCACACCCATAGGATCCGCGCCGCTGCCCAGTTCCCGAGTGGGTCCTTCATAGTCAAAGATCGTGGCAGGAGGCGTCTGTTTTCACGCTGTGAGAGTAAACCTCGTGCGGCTGCGGCGGGTCCCCTGGCGGCGTCATCCTCTTCTCCTTTTGCCGTCTGTTGCAAAACCAAACCCTCACCACCTCCTTCTCCAGCTGGAGGCTGTCCGCCAAAGACGAGATCTCCTGGGCCGCCGGCTTGGGGCACTTCAAGAAATGCGTTTCCAGGACCCCTTTGACACTCACCTCGATGGAGGTCCGCTTCTTCCGCTTCCTGCCCTGCGCCGCGATCTTGTCGATGCTGGTGGGGCTCCCCGTCGAGGAGTCGGCCTCCTCCAGCCACTTGTTCAGCAGAGGCTTAAGCTTGCACATGTTCTTGAAGCTCAGCTGCAGAGCCTCGAACCGGCAGATGGTCGTCTGAGAGAAGACGTTCCCGTACAAAGTGCCCAGCGCCAAACCCACGTCCGCTTGCGTGAAGCCCAGCTTGATCCTCCTTTGTTTGAACTGCTTGGCGAACTGCTCCAGTTCGTCCGACGTCGGTGTCTCCTCGTCCGAGTGGTCCTGGCAGTGGTGAGAGCCCAGGTCGCCGTGGTCCGGGGTGTCCCTCAGCACCTGGTGCATGGCCTGCGGCGTGACCGAAGCCGGAGGGGGCGTCAGACCCCCGTGGTCCAACATCCCGCTGACCGTGAAGCCCGCTTGAGAGTAGACGTTCAAGGGAGGAGGCGGAGGCTGCCCGCTCGACGTGAGCGAGGAATTGTGAGCCGGGCTGGCCCCCCAGGCGCTGGGGTGGCTGGTGTGGTGGGGCGAGTGGTGGCTAACGTGAGGCGAGCGGTGGTGGATGATGGCCCCCAGCTGCAAGTCTTCCCGCCCTGGCTTCACGTCGGGCTGGTCCAGAGGGCTGGCGGTCAAGGTGGACGACCAAGGGCCTGCGTCGCTCAGGCTGGTCACCCAGTGGTGCCCCAGAGGGTGCCCATTGCTGGGGACCCCTTGCAAGTAGTCACTTTGGAGAAGTTTCTGGGGGTTCCGGAATGGGCTTCCTTGCTGCATCCCCGCCGATTCTGCGTGGACCAAAGAGCTGGAAGTGAGGATGCTGTAGGGATTCGACGCCGCAGTAGCCATGCTTGATGCTCAGGATTCCCCCTACTAGTTATAATGTGGCAAAGGGAGATGCGTTCAGCCTTTGACATCTACCCAGCCTAAAGGGAGCCAAATCAGCAACCGCATGCTGACGGACAGCCCCGGCGGCCAATCCGAGAGCCTCTTCCCGCCGGGAAGTGGGCGCCGCAACCAATGAGAGTTCGCCAAAGAGGCTGGCTCTGAGCCCGTCCAAAAGGGTGGGGGGATGGAGAGAAAGAGAAAGAGGGAGACGAAGAAGCTTGCAGGCGGAGAAGGGTTAAAACGAGGGAGTCTGGAAGCAGGAAGTGAATCAATCTTCAGGTTCCATTGGCTGCCGCGAGCGGGCTGCCCACGATTCAGTGGGTTAACCCTTTCGCCGCTGCAGGACAATATCATTTATTTCAGCCCACCCACCTCCCCATTTCTGCCGCCGCTACTTCATTTTTTAGATCTTATTAGGAGAAGAAGAAAGGGAAAGAGGTGGGAGGAAGGGAAAGGAGGAGGCAAGGGAATGCGAGGGAATGGTTTAAATTTGTATTGATTAATTCCAGGTATAAACCCCTTTCCTGGAAAACTTGGGAGGGGGCAGGCGAAGGGAGGTTAAATACCCATCTTCAAGACGGACAGCTTCTCCTTAACACAATCTATAGACGTCTCCCCACAATACCCCCCAAATCCCTCTTAACATTTTGATGTCAGTCTGAAAGCAACTGGGAGATTAAGGGGTTGGGGGTTGCGGGGGACAACAACAAAATAAACAAAACTGTCTCAATTCAATCTCCCCGGCGCCTCAAAAGTTACACCTTGCCTAGGAAACTTGGTGTGTGAGAGAGGGAATATCAGACGAACACTTATCCGGGACACATATTGCATACATGACACTGTTGTCATACTTTTGGGTATGTTGCATACTCATACACACAGAGAAAGAGAAATGAAACAGCTGTGTGTGTGTGTGTGTGTGTGTGAGAGAGAGAGAGAGAGAGAGAGAGAGAGAGAGAGAGAGAGAGAGAGAGAGAGAAAGAGAGAGAGAGAAGCTAGTTTTCAGAGATTCATTTGTTTCCTTTCCACTGAGCTGACTGGTTGGTAAATCAGCAGTTAACCCGCTGCCTGATTGAAATGCAAATCCTGCCTGCCATTCGCCTTAAGTTGGGTGGTGCAAAGTTTGCTTCCACAGTCGCCCTGGTCATCCCGACGCTTCGGCTGCCTCCTCTCCACCCCCCACCCCTCCCCAGCAATTGGGAAACCGCGCGCTCCCTAACAACAAGCTCTGCAACTTTCCAAGCCTCTCGGAGCCTGTGACAGAAAAGCACACAACTTGTTGTGCCGCGACAGGAGGAGAGACGCACGTCTTGCAGCCCCGGGTGCCAAGAAAACCCCTCTCCTCCTTCCTAGACACACCCAGGAGGTTATAGTGGCTTCGTTTCTCCACGCCTTTCCAAAATACAGAACACACACACGCAAAATCTGGCAAACGGTTTGAATAAATTAGAATTGTTTTCTGCTAACCCTAACCCTCCCTTACCTTTGACATAAAGCTGTAAGGTATTGCTGTCTGTTTTATAAGCTTATTCCTGAAAACGTGGCTTTAGGTAATAAGGAGGAATGTCAAAGCATAAGTAGGGGAAACAATGAGAAATAAAGGGGGGGGATGGAAGGTTGCTGCTCTTTCTCCCCTTAATGTTCCTTTTCAGTCTATTATGTCAATAATAACAATGATAACAACAACAATAGCAACAATACAGTCTGTTGTGTGTTCCTCTTGCAAATGTTTTAGCTGGAGAGCAGAAATCGGAGCGTTTAGATTTTGTTGCAGTACTCCAGCTGAGAAAATTAAACCCTAATACATTCGAAAAGAAAAGAACAAGGATCTCCGAAGTTTTTTTTTTAATGACCTTTCCGTGCATAATTTCGGAGGTAACCTAGCTGCATAATTATATTTGCACTTACAGAACGCTGCATCACAGTTCCCTTATTGGTTTGAAATTCCATTAAATATATTGCAGGAGCTCCTAGGTTAAGCTTGATTTAAATTTGCATACATTTTCATATATTTAGCAGAAATAAAAGAAGGGCTTGCAGCTACCCGAAAGTCATTAAGGCATTAAGTTCTCTAGGAAGACAGATCTGGAGAAAAATTCAAGAAAATGAAAATATCGCCCTAAACAAGGTGAGCTTTTTTTTCCTTCCACATCTCTCTCTCTCTATCCTTTCCTTCTCTCCCTCCCTCTCTCTCATTTGAGCTGCACCTTTTCCTTTTCCTTTTTTAAAAAATAGGATAAAACAACTACTGGTAATTTTTCAGCAGTTTCCAAGTCTAGATCAATGGATAGGAAATCTGAATGCAAGATTTGTTCGCTTTCATACTTTTTTTGGTTAAAGTTTGAAATAAAAGTTGCATAGGTTTAAATATATTGAGGAAGTTGGGAAACTTCCATTTTTATTTATATATATTTTTTTAAAAAAACATTTTCCTGATTGCTGGGAGGGGGTACTGGGAGACGGTACTGTGGTGAAGAGGTTCTGCCGTTTTGGTTTCGACAGTCTTTTCTTCTTCTTCTTCTTCTTTGAAGCGTGGAAGCACTTTTTGGGAAAAGTACAGTTACTGGCAATTGAGGGTCCACTTATTTCCTCGCGTGGTACACTGTGATCCTTGCTGGATCCGTAAAATAATCTGTAAGAAATGGGGTGTGTATGTGTGTGTAGCTGTAAAAGCAAGACTATTCTCCCCACTGGGTTGGGAGAATAATTTGAAAAGACAGAAAGGGCCAGATTTTTTGCGCGCGGGGTGGGGGGGAGAGAATCTGTAGCAAGGCAGGAATGAAACCCAGCCAGCCTAATACCATATTGAAAATCGGATCCACTCTATTTCTGATGGTCTATTTAGAAAGCTAAATAAGTGAAACTGGAACCTAACCTAACCAAACACAAAACAACCTTCGTCCTCTCTTTGTACGATTTTTAAACCAAACTTTCATCGTTTTAGGGTGCCTTTACAAGAAGAGGAGGGAATCATAAAGTAGTTAGCTATTACCAACACCGACCCCCAACACAGTTAAGCAGCACTGTTGCAAACGGAGGGTGATGTCCGCTGCAACACTAAGGGAGTAAATGTAACCGAACACAATAGAGGGGACGGAGAGAGAGAGAGAGAGAGAGAGACTACATGTGATTGTTCTGTTAGGCTGCAAGCTTGCTTGGGAGGAAAAGCAGTATTCAACACCGCAGGGATTTACTTCTGAGTAAGCGCGCCTAGGGTAGACTAGTTTCTCTTCCACCACCACCCATACCAATTGACTTGGAAGGTCAATCCTTTGACAGCCCGCACGCGGGGGTAGGGAGGCCCCCTGCTCTTTACTCCCAAACCAACTCATTTTAAGGATGCTGGAGAGGTCTAAGTGAGGCAACCAGGCAACCCACTATAAGCCTTTACCTCCTTGACATGTTTGGGGATCGCCGGGAGTGGGGAGGAGGAGGACGGATCGATTATCTTTTTCTTCCTTCCTCACTCGAACTTCTAAATGAACTTGGCCAGGAGCGCACTTTCTCCCCCAAAAGTGGGGAGAGAAAACCTCCCAGAAACAGGCCTGGTGAAATCAAGCTCAGAAAATGGCTTTGTTTAGACCAATATAACAAATAATGTTAAAAAATCAAAATGTGCAGGCATCATGCAGTATCATGTTCTGCCTCAGATTAATGGGAAGATATCCTTTGGTTTCTCTCTCTCTCTCTCTCTCTCTCTCTCTCTCTCCCCACACCCCCTCCGCCTCCACACTTTCTCTTTCTGGAGTGTTTTTTATCCGCTTGGAGTTGCACCCCTCCCCTCCCCTCTCGCTTTTGCCTCCTAATCTGCTTGAGAGGGTTTCTTTAGCGCTTTCCTGTCAGTCTAACTTCCCGAGTGTAACAGATGCTGCTCTCAGGCGCTCCTTTCTGCTGCTCGGCTCTATTCAGCTCCGCATATTTCTCCCCATGATCCAGGTTTCCATAGAGAGAAGCATAAAGGCGAGAGCGGAGCCGCAAATCCATCGCCCCATGCAGAATAAAAGGACCTCATTCAATAGACCCGACCCCGTCTGAACATGAGAGAGTTTTACTTTTTAAGGACACGCAGAGTAACTGTTGCAAGAATTTGTCACTTATTTTTCCCTCCCCCCCATAGACTCCAGAGAGAGAGAGAGAGAGAGAGAGAGAGAGAGACCTTTTTTTAAAAAAAAAAGGAGGAATGAAAAGGAATCAAATCTGTGTTATTATTATTATTATTATTGCCATCATAATTGTTAATACGAACGTTTTCTTCTTTTTAAAGCCCGTTGGGCTTCTCGGACTCTCCTCACCCCCCCACGCACCGCGGCCCACCGCCAACCAGAAATAACTTTATTTTCATATCTAATCCCTCTTCCCCCCTCCCCCCCACCCAACCCCGCTTCGGTCACTTCATGGCAGGGATAAAGCCTGAGTAAGAATAGCTCTAGGGGAAAAAGAAGAAAGAAATATCCCATCTTGTTGGGAGGCAAAAGAGAAGTTGCTATAGAAGGAGAGCGAACCAGCGAGCGAGCGAGAGAGAGAGGCGGTTTCTGTTTGTTTATATGATTATTTGTTTGTTTGTGTTGAAAGTGAAGAGGTGTCTGTAAAATAAAGTCCTCTTCTGGCTCCCTCTCGCTCGCTCCAAACACACACACACTTGACAGTCCAAGTTAAACAAACAAACAAACAAACAAATTCTCAGCTCGCACTGTTGCTGGGACACCCCCCCCCCCTTTAAGCACACACTTCCGTCTTGCTTTTTAAAGGTGCGTAATATTCTTGCGTGGGGAAAGGAGTATATCGGATTGGAAGACAAGCTGCCAGCGAGCGAGGCGGTCACGAAGCTTGATCGCGTAATTCCACTGAATTCAGCGGGCCTCACTCCCAGGTTAAGTGTCTTTAGGATTGCTGCGTAAATCTTGCAGTCCTGAGCATGCTTACTTCTCTGACTTACTTCTGAGTAAACCCGAATAGGCTGGAACTGAGGTTTCCATTCTTTCCCGTCCCTCACCTCTCCTGGAGATGTGTATGACTTTTAGAACGCAATCCTATGCACAATTACTTGAAAGGAGCAGTCTAAAGGGATCTTGATCATATTGTAGATGGGTGCCCAGGGATGGAGGTTTAACATGCGGTCCAGCACCACGGATTTTTATCAGATAGGAAATCCCTTCTTGTTACTACTGTGAGCGAGTGTCTGCGGGGGGTGTCTGCGTGCGCGTGTGCGAGTTATATATTTACTGCAAATCACCGGAGGCGGTTCATAATGCAAAAAACAATTCCTCGCAGTCTTAAGGCTGCAATCCTCTGCGTCTTTACTCCAGAGTAAGGCCTGCTGTGTTACACACTCTTACCCGGGGTGTGTTTAGGATTGCAGCCGTTGAACTTGTGTGATCGATGACCCCAGAGGCGCTCTCTCTCATGCTGTGTTTTTCTCTCCTGCGGAAGAGAGACAGATACTGAGAGTAACAGATTGCAATATAATTATAACCCACACAATTGTGGGAGATATCATCTCTCTCGAGTCCCTCGAACCTCTCTCCCTCTCTCTTCCTAAGGAGGTGGGACACACGCACAGACGACCCTCGCCGCCTCTGTCTCTCCCCCCCCACACTCAATTCCAAGAGCGGAGGCGCGGGATGTTGTTGAGGGCGGAGGGGAAGGGGGTTTCTCTCCCCCCCCCCCCACTTCCAAGGGTGCAGTTTTGACTGTGCTTAATACAGCATGAAGCTGCGAGCGGTAGGCAGCGAGGCGAGGTCGCGACCTCTATAAAGAAAATTTCACCTTTTCGCCCAAGTTCGCTTTAGAGGCAAGGCTGGGACTTGTGAAGAGACGCTTGGTGGGAAACAAGTGTGTGCTTTTGTCTGTCTGTGTGTGTGTGTGTGTGTGTGTGTGTGTGTGTGTGTGTGTGTGTGTGAATGTGTTTGAGAGAGAGAACCCACCGGGAAAATAAGAGTATGGAAAAGGGACAGCCAAAAGGAGGCTGGGGAAGGAGGCTGCGAGAAAGAGTGAGAGTGTTTAACTGTTTCTTAAACAGGGGAGAGAGGTTTGTTTTTGTTTTCTTGTTGTCCCGCACTTTCCACAGGGCTAGAAAGGTTAGCCACGCTCCAACACCGGTACTCTCCCTGCAACAAGCGAAAGCAAGGTTTTAAAACGAAACCAGAGTTTATGGGGTGGGGGGGGGAGAGGAAGAAAGAGAAAAGAGAGAGAAAAGGAGAAGAAGAATTGGAGGAGCACTGGAGAAAGATATTAGCCAATTAGCAAAAAATTCCTTTCTCTCCCCCCTTTCTTTCTCCCCCCCCCAATTTTTTTTAGTCTCTGCTGTTTTGGGGGGCGGGGGGGGGAGAGAGAGGCACCTTGCATTTTACTCCTCTAGACTCAGATGCAGCAGCGGAGGAAGAGCAGGGGGCGGCGGAGAAGGGAAGGTAGGGTGTGGGGAACGCGTTCAAAGATTAACCCCTTCCAGGAATCTTTGGCAATATCCCCCCCCCCCCACTTCCCACTGGCTACAGAAGAGGCAAAATATATTTCTGGGTGGGCGAGTTTTGTCACAGGTGTAAAGAGCTCCGAAGGAAAAATAGCAGTGGATGTTAATTATATAAGTCCAACAATGTGTTGGGGTGAGCAAGCGTGTGTGTGGGGGGGTGTGAAGGTGATGGGTCGAGCTTCTTGTTTGGGGGGCGCTTGTCCCTCCCAATCACTTCTAACCTCGATGGCGTTTGGTTGTATGCCCACACATGAGCTGATTCTGCGTTCGGGATACTGGAAGAGGGAGTGATCATTTTGATATTATTATTATTGTTGCTATAGTGGCTGTTGTTGCATCTCCTCACCTTGGCAGAAGAAATTGCAAGGTAAATAAGATAGAATCTAATCTGCTCACCGCCCTCCCTCAAATTCCGCCCCCACCCCGCCAGTTTATTTTTGCCCCACCTCACTGCGCCGCGCGCGCGCGCGCGCACACACGTACAGGTTCCACTTGGTTCATCTCCCGTGTGTACCTATCTGTGTTCCCACCTGAAAAGTTTGGATGTTCCTGTGTACTTTAGGAGAGGCGCGGAGGTTGTGGTTTGTTTTCAAATGGGACTTGCTCTAGCGGATTTAATTCGTTGGCTGGGGGAGTTATTTATTTATTTCACCCTGAAA